GAATTAACATCCGCAAAACGCTGATTAAACGCAACAAAATCTTTTTAAACGCAACAAAATCGCTTTATAAGCGAATCATTCCGCACGATGAAACATGGATTAAAGACGAGAATATCTAATGTAAATGATTATGGTTTTAAGCGAGTGACTCAACACAAACGACTTCAAAGCCTGTATTTACGGTAAACACCTTTTTAACTAAGTTCTTGGTGGTATTGGGAGGAAATTGTCTTTTACGAGCTGCTCGTAATAACATCAGTGTAGAGCAGAAGTTCTACACCAATTGAACTATAAACATACCCAAGATATCAAGGCAAGATATCATAAATAATAGTGATTAATATATAACTGATTAAAATTGATTTTTAATAAAGAAAATTAGTGCTAAAAAATGTACCACAACCGCAGATAATTTTTATATCAATTTATAGATTTCATCGTTTCACGTTCTATTGTCATACGCCAGGTATTGTGTGGGCGTCCTTGTGTTCTTCTGCCTTGTAGGTTCCAGCAGAGTACGGCGTATGCTACATCGTTTGTGACCCAACCATCTGTATTTTCGCAATCGTGTTTCCCGACCTATTGGTTTCTGCGTGGTAGCACGCCACAGCCTTTCATTCGAGAGTATTCTTGTCATTCATTTCATCATATTACTATTGTGTTCATAAATACAATTATATGAATTTCTCTTATAAATGCTCTGTCCTTATAAATCCGTCAATGTGCAGGAAAGTTGCATACAATTTGGTTGTCGTATTTATTTTGATGTTAAACGAAACTGTTAAATTTGACTTTATGTATGTGTGGGAATATATACTCACTAGCGTTTATATTGTAGTTACCTTATCTTTTCTTATGTCAGCACATTTCAACATTTGCACTTTTGTAAGTAAGCGACTTACTTCACAACCAAGTCACTGGTAAAACATCCTGCAGCAACAGCAAGAATAATAGTAGGAGCCATTGCAATGACACATTGATGTGCTGCGGTTTTAGTAGTGCACACCAGTGGCCCGCCTGCTGCTATTCCAACCACTCACTGCCCAACGCCAACTACGTAGTCAACATCTCATCACAGTAACTGTTTGAAATTCTTTTTTAAATTTATTTTTCATTTTAAATTGATAAAAACTATACCAACCAACCAAGCAAGCAACAGTAAAGAAAACAAGCTATGTACATTGTGACAGGAACAATATAGCTTCCTTTCAAGCTTACTTGCTTGCTGGCTGTTAGCTCATTTAATAACATGTGTTATCATCGATCATTGATTTGTTTACTTTACAAAAGGCAAACATATGAGCATATACGCTACTCTACTCACACTACACTACTCACCCTACTCATCCATGGCTTACTTCCTGTACATACACAACTTGTCAATCCTTGCTTTGTGCTTCCTTAAGGATTTTTCCTGTTACTATTATTGCAACTGTTGTACTGTGTTGGTCTCACTGTGGCAGCTCTGGTAATCTTACATTGATCTGTGGGTGTGTGGATGTGTGGGTGTGTGGGTGTGTTTATGGGTGGATGTGTTCAGAACAGGATTTGATAGCATGTCCTTTCGTATCCGGTCATTTATACTCATGATGATGTGACCGCTTCCTTTGCTAAGCAGCGACATTTGGCTTAATACCCCGTCTATATGCTCGTATATATACTCGTACGCTCTTGTTTCATATCCGATTTGTACTGCAAATAATAGTAAATGTGATTGTTGTTCATGTGTTGTTCTTGCTGTTGTTATTGTTGTGTTGTTTATATTTGAAAATGTTCAATTAAGCAGTAATAAATTGCTCATTTGCACGATGTACCAAAGGACATTACAAAATGTTCAACTATTTAGTACACAAACGATAAGCTTATATACGTATACATCGCACGCTTTGATGAATTTGCTCAAACTCACAGTATTTGTTATAATTAAATCAATTTTATTTAGGGGATTCACTAACTTATTTTGTGGAATTTGTTTGAGGAAATCATTTAATTAATTATTAAATAAATGCTGATTAAATAAATAAATAGAGTTCAAAGTATTATATTATCGACTACTCCTTAATGTGTAAATTAGTTAAAGAGTAAAATACAAACTAATCGCCTAAGTACCATTTAAATTAGGACATACAAGTATGATAGTAGTAAAAGTAATGTATTGGGAAATTCGATTACTCTACTCATAATCACTTATTATTTATTTACCCAGAGATTAGAATAATTGAAATAAAATGTGACTACTTTAAAAATCGAGTCCATCCCAGATTACTTAAGATTTCTAAATGTAATAGTCATAACAAAATTTACTGGTCCAACACATTTTGCTCTTCGGTGTTGGACCACATCATTTCAATACACATCATTTCAGAAGTTTAACTTTCCTTTAATTTCTTATTACTTACATAAAATTATATAAAAGTGACTCTCAAGTCACTCGCCCACAACCTTCTGGGGTTGCATCTTCTGAACCGGCCTCTGATGACAAAGACGTGGTTACTACTAAAACCAACACTCCCAATGTGGAGATGTGTGACAAAATCAACATCCTCTCTTTCGAAGACGAAGACAGTGTAACTCGTCTCGTTGCAAGCTCTTCACAGTTATGGCGCTGTCTCACAAGATCTCACCAATGTCGGGCAAGGATAAGCTCAGCAGCACCGTCATCGAAACCACTTAATTTATACAACCACCAACATTCTAAAACCGGTTCAGCAACCCTCACCCTCCACCTGGCTGAAAAAGAAGAAAACATTCTGCTCATCCAAGAACCTTCGATTGCGAACAATCGGGTTTTCGCACTGAATACAAACGGATATTTTGGTTCTTTGGATTGTCTCAGCATATTTGGCACAGGACAACGTAGACTGACCTATCAGTCTATGTTCGCACTAACGCCTTTCTTGTGATACCAGTCGTGTGGACTTTCTTAGTTACAAGGCCGCCACTCCAACCTACATATCTTATTCCATCCAAAAACTTTTATTTGGTAGCGTTGCTATTTTTTGGATATGTAAAGTCCCTAAGTTTTGAAAGAAACCATTTTTTTGTCCCGAAAAATTTATTAAATTTATAACATCAAAATTAAAAACAATATCACTTTTTTTTCAACTATGATAGGTCTTCAAAATCAGTCGGTAATTGAACATTATTAGTACTTTCGAAATGTTTTTGTAGCAAGTTTGAAATATTAGTGAGGTGTAATAAAAAGCATATGTTTGTTTATACCATACATCTATGTATATAGTACGTGCAAATTTGTTTTAATTCAAATTCAAATAAAGAAAAGCATTTCTATTTAAACACTCCATAATACTTGAATCGAGATGCCTAGTAAAAATTTATTCTGCTACATCCTGTTTTATATTTAATTTCCGCATCTTTCCCAAATTTTTCAAAATATTTGAACTTCCAAAATAAAGAAAAACTGAGAAATTAAATTAGAATTATATCTTTAACCCTCCGAAAAAGTGGGTAGTGTCTATATCTTCAAAACTCTAATTAAATCTATATTTAAAGTGAAGCATTTCGACCCAAAATTTTAATTAGAAAAACAAAAAATATAGACTGGGAACCATTTTATATGTTGTGAAGAAAGAGGACGGTCAATCATTTCAATAAGCGAACTATGAATTTCTGTTATAGTGACTTTCAAAGTGTAAACAAAGTGAAAAAATAAATAATGAGTTAGATCTAGAACGTAGCAGATATCGAATCACAATAGAAAAATTAAACAATTTTCTGAACGTTCTGATATCTAAAATAAACAAAGAGAAATATTAAATCTTAACTAGAGCGTCGCACCCAAGGGGTAAAATATTCAGTGCTACGTTTAAAAAAATTCAAAGAGATGGGAAAATTAGAAGAGCTGTACTAAAAACAAAGGATATAAAGTTTATTCCTGATGTCTGTAAAAATCAGTTAAAATTAAATATTTTTATGCAAATCAAGCAACAAACACCAAAAGCGGTGAAACTTTCATTAAATGGACACTTAAACAGGCCCCCAAATCGTTGGAAAGAATGCTAAAGTTTAAGATCTACAAATTTGCACACACCATGAGTACAACTATATTAAATTGTTTCATAAAAACTTAATTTATACAAAAATACAAAACTAGAGAAAAAATTATAGAGTTGTATATTCTGTATTTGAAGTTTCTGATCCAACATGTATGATTCATAGATATATCTAATTAATTCATTGCAGACTTTGATTACAGTAGTTTTATTACAAGTTCATCCGTTGCGACTTCACTATTCAATTTTTATATTTGTATGTATTAATTTTATAAAATTTATTATTCTCAAAGGTTGCAGTAACGTGGTGACAAGTTCCCAACCCTTTTAAAATCTATTTTATGTATTTTATACAATAAAATCTATTGTATATACTGAAACTCATGTATATGAGACATGTAATTAACAACTATTCTTCACACTTCTAATATAATATATTATTAATATAGTACAAATTGTTAATTAAAACAAGGTTTAATTTTATATTACAATGTTATAATAAATAATATCTTAGTACCATTATTAATTGTTTATGCGGAAAGAAAACTTTTCACATCATCGACTGTTAACATTTTCTTTACATTTATACTAAATTTCGAACTTAACTCATTCCAACTGAATGAATATACATATATTAATGACTTAAATTTATTTTATTTTTTAAATACTAATAAAACCACATTATAACTCAACAATAACACAACTTAATATTTATTTTAATTTAATTTAAATTTTATTTTACATTTTAGACAGGAATATAATGTTATCACTTCATATGTAATATTTAATATTTTAACATACATTTAGTATTTCTGTTAAATTTAGGTAAACCGCCATCTAACGCATTTATTTGGGCAATGGACGTTCAAACAATTTAAATCATATGTTAGAATGAAATGACTATACTGCTACAACTTGTAGAACAGCTGTTTAGTTTTATTGTTTACGAAATGTACTTGTTGTTGCGAAACATCTGTTAAATGGTGTGCAGATGTGGAAATGTCAAAACACAAACCGAAAACGTAAAAACTGCGATAACAACGACGACATAAAATGTAAAGTAAAGCAAAGAATTTGTGAGTGAACGATTGTACTTTTCTTTAATTATTGAAATAATATCATAAGCAAAGTGCAAAAATTAAATAAAAATACTAACAGTGAATATATGGATGAAACAAAAGAATTCTCTAAACCATAGCTGGTGCAGTTTTCGGTGATAAATTACATCCATATGCATAGAACTTAAAATGTGTATAAAATATTGTAAACAATACTGCATTATTGATACAAAAACATGCAATTAAAAATGCGAAAACGTGTTTAAGCTTTAAATGCAAAAAACGTGCGTATAAAAAATTTGCTAAGCAGAATTCTGTTATCGCATTGAATAATTAAAACAAATCTATTTGAAATAAAAAAACAAAATATTATCTGCCATTAAACTTTAAATAAGGTAATTTCCTTTGTTCATTTTGTTCTAATAAACAATAATTAATATTTGTAATTTAAAAAATTGTAAAAAAACATATAGCAAATCACTTTTTTTTACTTTTTTATTGTACGTGGGCCTTTGTTCATTAATTCTTTTTATTATTGCTGTTGTGTTTGTTGTTGTTGGCATTTCTGCTCTGGCGGCAGAAAGCACCTTTGTTGGGGCTATGAATAACTTCTCTGTTATTTGGTGTAGTGTTGTTGTTGCTGTTACTTAAATTTCATGGATATTGCCAGGGCAGCATTCTTATTGGTCGCCAAAATAAATAAACAACAAAAAATTTAATACATTATTATGCTAAAATAATTTTTAAATAACTCACTTCACGTATATATTACTTTGTACGTTGGATTATTAACGTATATATAAAGGGAATGTAATAGTTTTAATTGTTATTACAGTACATTATTTGTGAACTGCATAACCCCAAAAGACTTCAACCCGAACTTTTGTTAATGAGCAAAAGTTTAAAAGAATTCAACAAGTAAATTACATACAAAACTGCCTAATTAAAAATGAAATTAGAAAAATATATAATTATCTGTTTAGTGAGTTTAAAGCTTATTTCATTGCGCTTAACGACTCATACATCAAAGCAAAATGCACCAGTGGCGCATTTAATAGTAGTAATAGTGGTAAGGCCTATAAGTCTCTACAAGCAGTCAAGTTAATTTAAAGCTTTTGAGATTAGTCCCATTCCCCGCTAAAACTATTTTTAGCTACTACATTCAATATTTCTCTTCTCTGGATTTACTCTTACTGACATGTCGCTGGTAATTTTAAAATGGGTGCACTAGCTAGATATAGTACTCCAGGAATATAAAAAATGTTAAATAGAATAGAATATGAACGATTACCAACATGTAGTCTTTTGAACATAAGTTGAATAGAGAAGAATCTAGCTATTTTTATGGATTGCTATATACAGATATCAACTATAGTACATCCAACCGCTTGGTGCAGTTGTGAAAAATCTCGACAAAGATTCTATTTTGCTATAATCTAGTACAGTGCAACGTAGACATGTCCGCAGACCGACCGCAGACAATGTCGGCAATGTGTTATAATACAATTATACAACCATGATACCGATTATGCTGCAAACTACAACTTTCGTTACACGAGACTGGAATTAAAATTAAAATTCGTTGTAAAATTACTTGAGCCCATGGAGATTTTACCTATTTAAAGCCAATTAGATTTGTAAAGTTTTGTGGTTATTCTTATTACCATTTATATAATATATAACAAATGATGTTATACTATTTTTTCAAAAACAGAAAAAAATTCTTGAAGACATAGAAGAAAAATAGAGGAATAGAACCCTCACCCTTTTCGATATTATGAGTACTCACCAGAATACATATTTAAACTCGTTAAAAACTACAATTCTATTTTTAACTTTGGCGAATATATTGGACTTTTAAATCTAATATTTAAGAAAAATCACTTGGTTAACAGATATAATTAAAATTACATCAAGACTATAACTAGATGTAATTATCAGTGTATTAACCAAGTAATCACGTCTACTAGAGAATAAAAGTGGATCAAATATTAACTTCAGCCAATAAATTAGTTATTACATCAAGTCTTTAAATTTTATCTTTAAAATGTCTATACACAAAATTTCAATCGATCAGTTATTCCACCTAATCATCAATTTCGATTTTTAGGAAGTCCATACGCTTTAGTCTACTTCTATAGAATTTCGATGTTCTAAATCAGGGCTGTCCAGACTAGATACGATCGCGGGCTAATATAAATAACTGTGCAGATTGGAGGACCGCAGAAACAAATACATACGTTCATAGTTGTCATTATACATACATTATAACATTATAAATACGGTTATAATATTACATTTAGTTTTATTAATTTATCAATTTAAATTCAATTTAAAAACAATGTAGTTCTACCAATATGCCGCAGTCCGCATGTGGCCCATGGGCCGTCCTTTGGACAGCCCTGTTCTAGATTATCAAAATTAAATTCAAAATTAAATAAATTTAAAATTTACTTATTTTTAAGAACATCACTATGGATTATGGGTAAGATTAGTAAAATGAAATATCCTTGTGGGACACCGAAAATAGAATCAAACATAGATTTAAAGTTAACAGTGTTCCAGAATAGGTCATATTATATTTCAAAACTCTTCCCCCTTCTGCTCACCCCTCCTGGATTAGGGCAACAACAACTGTTCCATTATGTTGTTCCTTGCAATTAAATTTATAATATTGGATGTAGAGTATTTAAATGAGTTTTAAAAAGTGGTACTGTATTCTAAAAATACGAAATCTACAGCTACATACAAGTCGATCGACTGCTGTATAATAATAATGGGATTTCTTGATTTGATGAAGGTAGAAATGACTAGGAATGAAATCAAATTACTGCCTACAAGTTGCTCAATATAACTTTTTTTAATAACTAATACCTACTCTTATAACTTTCTAGTTGTACGATACACTAATAAAAACCATAAAAAGAATGTCTATATTTAAATTTATTCTAAAAAATTTATAAATATTCAATCATTTAATATTATTCATTTAATTTACATTACAAAAAGGGCAACACTAGTCGTAGATCCATGTCTACTGAACCAATTAAAGTTCTATTAAATGAATGAAAATAGAAAAAATGGAATATTGAATAGAAAATAATATATAATAACATATAGAATATAATCAATATTTCAAAGAATATATATACACGATTATACATTAATACTCCTATATATATGCATATAAATGTATAATTTTTTAGAAACAAAAACAACATATGTATATAAGAAGCAAATAGCTTAGTCAGGTAAACAAACAAGCCCTCATTGCATTGGTGTTAGGTAATGATATTTTACCGTTAAGGGTTATTTTGGTCAAAAATGGGTACAAATCTGGAAACGAGTGTTCTTTTTCATTTTATTGGATTTACACGAGAGTTTTGTTTGTATTTAGCTGTCAAAAATGTTCATTTTGCATTGAAAGCAACAACAATTGACAGCTAAAATTACAAACAAAACTCTCGTGTGAATCCAGTATTACATAGAAGCAAGCGATCCTATGTAATAAGGGCAATTTTATTCGAAAAATAGGTTAAAATTTGTCCTAAACAAATGATGATAATAAATGTATAATATTGTTTGATTTGTATAAGATATATATCTTAAAAGTCTAATAGTCTAAGCTTCTTTTATATAATAACTAGTTAATATTAATACATTAAACAAAAGTTGAGTTCAAATACATTCAGCAAAAGTTGAATTCTAATTATCGGAATAGAAAGGATATTAATATACGTATTTTTGCTAATATGGATCATTTTTTCAACATTTTCAAATTTATCAGGCTACAATACTCTGACACTATGCAAAACAGTGTAAAATTTTGTAGGCTGGTGTAATTACATAAATAAATATATTTACAAGTAAACTCCACTAATATAAACCACTTATAATAAGCTTCATTCCTAATAATCAATTTAATTAAGCAGAATATTTCATTTTTTATTACAAGATTGCGTTTTTAAATAGTGATATCACCAGTGACGATTTTATACCTAACCAACATTCCTACTATATAATCAATTTAGTACTGCTTATTATCTGGAAAAAAAGACATATGAATATATTGAGCTTTAATCATTCTAACAATCTTGTATGTGTTAAAATAACATTTTATTTTTTGCCATTTCAAAAAAAATTATTCCAAATTATGCAATAATAATAAAACAAAAACAAAATAATTATAATAATAAATAATTACCTTTCTGCTATTATGTATACTCAGTATATTAAGTTTGCAAAAATGTTTGTACCACAGTAAAGAAGATGTAAAAGACTCATAGTCCAGCCATATATACATTTATATATATTACTAATCAGTAATGTAATGAGATGAATATATAAATATGTTTGATAGTACTCAAGTTGTGTTTTAAGCTTAAATTAAATGGAGCATTAAACAGTTTTTTTTGCAATATCCATATTTAGTGGAAAATCTTGTACTTCGCCAAAATCTTCAAAAAATGAAAGTCCCTAAAGTGATAAGTCGACGCCGGACAGAAGGAAAACAGATGGGATACACTTTCATTGTCCTCTGCCATTTTGCGGCAAGTATGGTTGAAAGGGAGATTTAGTCTCATAGCACGGTTACCTGAAATACAATCACCTGAAACCCATATAGTATTACCAACTTGAAAAAAATGTTTGCCGCGTTTTTCATGCTGTAAATTCCGACTACTTACTTTACATAAAATATATGGCTCTTAATTATTTTAATATGAAATTAAAAATAAAATTATAGTGTATTTATTAGTGCACTAGGTAAATGATATGCCAAAATAAAAAATTGGTTATATATACAACTAAAAAAATTGGTTAGCCTAATCATGAAAATCACTGCTATCATATTGTGATTACCTGTATAGAGGGTATTGAAGCTTCAGTAAAACCAAAGGTAACTTGTTTTTTTCTGTCTAATATCTGTCTAGCATGTACAGGTAGTAGTAGTACAAAATAGATGAAAACTGTGCTGTCAAAATATATTTTATTTGAAATAAGATGTCATAGTGAAAAGCTCAATGGATAGCTGTAAAGCATATTACAATTTAAGTAGATAATCTAAGTGATTTTGAAATTATGTGATATATATTTGTTTATAAATAATTTTAAAAACATTTTTCTAAAATAAAAACAAAGTGAAATAAAAATAATTCAAATCTTTAATAGTTGTATAAATAAAAAAAAAATACAAAAATTGTAAAAAATAAAATAAATTAAAATTTTTTTAAAAAGTATTTACTCTGAACTTTACCATAAATATTTGACCACCTGAAATTGTAAGGTAAACTCAACTTTTTTTAAATTTTGTGTTTATATATTATGTATACTAGCAATTAATTTTAATTTTATATTTATGTATATATATGTTTTAATTTATGATAAGACCAAAGTT